AACTTACATGTAGTCACTAAAATCTAGTAAGTAATTCAAGTATGGTCATATAAACCAGGCAATTAAAGACTCACATCAAATGATCCAAAAACAAAGACCTGAAGTAAAGGCTGAAAGCTTTGTTTCTTCCTCTCATGTACATGCCTAAACATCAGGACATTACTGTAGAAAATAAAGTTGTATACGGTTTCCAGAGATGACGAAATTTCAGCACAAAGGGTGTCAAGACCCATAGTTTGCTTCATCAAATGCTTTTCTAGCTCGTTTCAGTTCTTCACTCATAGTAAGCAAGTCTTTAACCCTAGCAAACTTCCTTGGGTCCTTTCGAATCAAGAAGACGATATTTTCGACTTGTACTCGACCTTGTCTTCCAATGGACATTGCCTTGTGAGTCTGGGGCCGGGGAGATGGCTCAGTGGAATAAGCGCTTCCTTGGTAAGCGCAAGGGCCTGAATTCAATCCATTCTTTGGAAAAACGTCTCTTTCTTTTACCCTGTCCACCTTCAGCACCTCCTCCAATTTCTTCATTTTCCTCCTCAAAGGTAGGATCCTCTTCCTCATCCGTCATCCGACCAGCCAACCTCTTTTTACTTTATTTATTTATTTTTGGGTGTGTGTGTGGCCAGCTCAGCCCACCAGGGGGCGGGACTGGCTGGCATGTGGTGCTGTGGGATTGAACCACGGTCCCTGTGCTTTGCTAAGCTTGTTCTAAGTAGGTGCTTTAGACCACTGAGCCATCTCACCAACCCGGCATTTTTCTTTATGGTAAAATATTTTTGTAAGTTTCTCAAAAGAGTTCACTATGGCTGGGGAGATAGCTCAGTGGTCTAAGCACCTGCCTGGCAAGCACAAGGACCCGAGTTTGATCCCTGGTACTGCATGCTGTGCTAGCCCCAGAAATCTAGGTGTGCCATGCTGGCCTGAAATGGCGTGATGGTGCATGCCTGTAATCCCAGCACTGAGGAGGCTGAGACAGAAGGATCGCTATGAGTTTGAACTGCATAGCAAGACCCTGTATAAAAAAATAAATAAATAAAAGGCTTCACAAGCCTTTTGGTAGGCAGACACTGTGGCTATTACACTGTGCGGCTCCCACACAACTGTCACAGGTACACCAGCCATATGGCTAGCTGAAACTAGTTCAGGCTCAAAGCAAGTTTAGAACCAGGCAGAAGCATCAGATGGCTTCTTCCTGGTTACGTCAACTGAGGATGGGCCCTTCATCCCAAAAGCTGTCTCCCGCCCCTCTGCCTCCTTTGTCCATTGCTCCTGGCCAATGCCCAACCCTTGGTCTTCACTGGAGATCAACAGGTGTGCAGCAGCCAGTCCAGTGGCTTACACTTGTGGCCCAGCCACTGGGGAGGCTGAGGTGAGAAAGTGCTGGAGTGTGCAGGCATTGGAGACCAGCCTGGGAAACAGGCTACGACCCTGTCCTAAAAAGACACATGGGCTTTTCCTACAGTGTTATTATACAAATGAATCACATGGCTCCTGCTTGCCTTTTTCACTGGCCGCCGTCTGACCATGTGGTCATCTGTTGTCCTGCCCCTTCTCGAGGATGAGTCCCCTTAATGTAGGGGTAGAGTGAGCGGGCTGCC